CCAGCTTAATGGTGAAACGGCTCTAGATGCTTAGGCTGGTTATTGGCAAGCAGACACAGTCTGTTACTTGGACCACATTCCAAGTCTTTACAGCATGGCAGAACCTTCCCCAACTTGTATTCTTAGGCCACAGAGACCAGGAACCTGTGGTCACCTCCACAGCAGGATGAGGCCTCAGATTAGGACTTCAGAAACACAGCTCCAATTAGAAATAGCTAGGTTTTCAGCCCAGTATGAATCCTTTGGTATGACTAAGGTGTGTACCCTGAGGTTTAATAAGGTATGGATGGCGACTGATGGCTTTCCCACACTCATTATATTTAGAAGGTTTCTCTCTAGTATGAATCCTCTGGTGTCTGATAAGGTTTGAACATTGACTGAAGGCTATCCCGCATTCATTACATTGATAAGGCTTCTTTCCAGTATGAATTCTTTCATGTACAATAAGGTGTGAGCAATGACTGAAGGCCTTTCCGCATTCATTACATTTATAAGATTTTTCTCCAGTATGAACCCTCTGGTGTTGAATAAGGTGTGAGCGGTTACTGAAGGCCTTACCACATTCTTTACATTGATAAGGCTTCTCTCCGGTATGAATTCTCTGATGCTGAGTAAGGTGTGAGTGCCGACTAAAAGCTTTCCCACATTCATCACACTTAAAAGGCTTCTCTCCAGTATGAATCTTCTGATGTTGGATAAGGTTTGAGAATTGAGTGAAGGCTTTTCCACATTCATTACATTTATAAGGTTTCTCCCCTGTATGAATCCTTTCATGAACAATAAGATGTGAATAATGACTAAAGGCTTTTCCACAGTCATTACATTTATAAGGCTTCTCCCCAGTATGAATTTTCTGATGTTTATGAAAATCTGGGCATCGACTGAAGGTCTTTCCACATTCATTACAATGATAATGCATATCTCCAGTATGCATCCTCTGATGCTTAATAAGTTGTGAGCGGTTGCTAAAGGCTTTTCCACATTCATTACATCGGTAAGGCTTCTCTCTAGTATGAATCCTCTGGTGTTTAATGAGGTGTGAACACTGACTGAAGGCTTTCCCACATTCATTGCATTGATAAGGTTTCTCTCCTGTGTGAGTCCTCTGATGTTGTATAAGGTGTGAATGACGACTAAAACGTTTCCCACATTCATCGCACTTAGAAGATTTCTCTCCAGTACCGATTCTCTGATTCTGCATAAGATGAGAACTCTGTGGCAAGGCTTTCATACATGACTTACATTTATAAATTTTCTCTCCAATATGAATGCTCTGAACAACAGTAAGATTTCTGTGATTACTGAAGCCTTTCCCACATTCATAACATTCATGTTTCTCCCTAAGATGAACCTTCTGATGCACAGGCATGGGCCTCACAAGTCTCTCCTGGCTCCCTTGCTTCTTTAACTGGTTCTCACATCCTCTGTCATCTCCCCACATGGAACTGCAAAGATTAACCCTTCTGAGTCTTTCTATTATCAGGTCCTGGGATAATTCATTCTCTGCAATGGTTTGCTTTATCTCTGTCCTTGAATTTGAGTCTGAAAGAAATTAAAATAACTTGTCAATATCCACCTTTCCCTGTGACTGGAGAAAGGAAACTGTTACAGTGAAAACGTGGCAACACAACTAAAAATGACGCCCAAAGGCAAGCAGCATTCAGTGGTGAACCCCATATGAGGCGGAAAAGGGAATCAGCAAGAAATAAATGAAGAAGCCAAAAAATCGAGGAGGGTGCGAGGCGATTCATATGCTAGGTGACTCCAGAAGGTCGGAGGAACCTGCAAGGAGAAGCAAAATGTAGAGATCTGGAGATAAGCTATGGTAGGACTGGGTCTCTAGGCCCAAAAGGCTAAAAGCTAACTCGATAATTTAAGGAGAATAGGAGAGGAAATACAAGGACATTATAGAGCTGGGGGGTCAAGCCTTCATCATTTCATGCCCATAAGCCACACATCACTATGGAAAGAAAGCACCATGTAGAAGGTTTGGGTCAGAACACTTGAATTCAAGTTCTAGCTTCATGACCTCTGAGCTCTGGAATATCGACCACATTCTCATCTGTTAAATTCTAGAATTGAGAGGAAGAGAAACCTCAGCTTCTACTGGAGAGAGTCGTCACTCTAACACCCCGGAACATACTGGGTTCAGAACCCAGCCCCTCCGGAGCCAGCACAATTTTGACGTCAGACATCACGTCTGAATGCCCCTTAGAGACTTCCACTCACTGTTTCTAGTTCTTTCCTCTGGGATTAAACAGAACAAGCCTAATTCCTCTTTATCATGTCACCCCTGGATCTTCTCTTCTCTTGGCAGAACATCCCTGGCTCAGGGCTGTCAATCAGTTCTCAGAGGATATGGATTCAAGGCCCTGAAGTGGAATAAGACCAACTCCTTCCTGGTGACACTTTGATAATCTGAATCAATACGACAACCACACAGCCACTGGTGAAACAGAGAATGTAAATAAAGGAACTACACCATGTTCAAAGATGTCCTTGCCCTACACACACACACATACACTCATACACACATACACATACACTCACACCCACCCACGTACACA